TTAGGGTTTAGGGTTTAAAGCAGAAGCCGCGCACCGCGCCTAGTCAACGCTATATGCATCAGTTGGATCGACTCGGCATCACTACACCCAAGGCACCAAATCCTGAACAACAACCCTGAATCCTGGGCTCTAACTACCTTGTACAAATACACACAAATATCACAAATATAATGAGGGAGAAGCATATGCACACATTGACTACCCTAAGCCCTAAGTCCTAAGCCGATAAACCCTTACCCCTAAACCCCTACAGAGGCTGAAGCCAGATGATCGCAAAGTTCGGTTTGTCGCTGACTCAGATCTCAGGTGTCGGTGCTGCAGGGGTCCTGTCAAGTCCCTAATGCCCTTTACCTGCCCAAGTAGTAACCTACAGAACTACTACCAGAAACCTACCTAAACCCTAAACCCTAAACCCTAAACGCTAAACCCTAAACCCTAAACCCTAAACCCTAAACGCTAAACCCTAAACCCTAAACCCTAAACCTAATTGATGGTTATCATTGGGTCCTTTGGACCCTTAGAGGAACCTGTGAGGGTCCAAGCACCCACTTTGGGTACCCAGATCCATTCAGAGGATAATGTAGGGGCCTAAACAATTCCCAATATCACTTTGGGGATTCCTTATTACAGTTATAGTCTACTGGGCCCCAAAACCCTGTTCTAATTATGAAGGCCCCGATATTGCTCAGATCCATTCAGAGGATAGTCTTTGCGACCTCAACCCCTGAATCCCTTGAGAGTTTAGGGTTTAGGGTTTAAGGGGGTTCTTGGGCCCTTGTACCCTGCATAGTTGGACCATGACGTAGATGACTGCAGGGTCTTATTGCCAACAGCAAGGCAGAAGGAGTCGGGGCCCCGGGCCGGGGCTTGGCAAGACAAAGTAGGCCACCTTCAAACCACCATGTTGCACATGGTAAGCTCTAAAAGGGTTAGCCTACAATATGACCCTAGTCGGAAGCCGTCTCCCATACACCCTTTTGCCAAGCCGATCAGACCCACAGTCGCACATTGAAACAAAGTTGTGGCTCTTTCCATTTTGTTGTGTTCCCTGCCCTCCCAAACGCTTGCCCCAAATGGCAAACCCGTACATCTAAACCCTCAACCCTAAACCCTAAACTGCTTTATCTCAGTTATGTACGGGCTTGCAGGGTGGCTAGAGAAATCCTACAAGCCTTAGCAACAAGATGCTACACCCTAAACCCTAAACCCTAAACCCTACAAGTTGTGCCTACAAGCCTTAGCAACAAGATGCCTCAGGATTACGGCTACAACGACATCGAAGGTGGCAATCTGATGGGAAGCCTCCTGGGAAGCCTCCAGGAGAGTTCCCAGAGACTCCAATGCCCCTTAATTAAGGTAATATAGGGTTTAGGGTTTAGGGTTTAGGGTCCAATACCCCTTAATTAAGGAATATACCTTAAATTATAGTAGGATCCCTAATAAGATTTAAGGTATATTCCTTAGTTAAGGGGTATTGGAGTCTCTGGGTTGCTGTGGAGATCAAAAGGTTTAGCCTCTAAGGGTTTAGTGTACTTAGTAGCTGAATGAGTTCACTTTACACATTTGGGATTATTATCCCCCGATAGGACTGAGCATGTACTTTAGGGGCCTAAATGATTACCAATCCTATTTTTCGCGGGGTTCCTGAGTAGAATTATAGTATAGTATACCCCACAACCCGATTCTATTTATCAAGGCCCCTCCATGTACCCTTTTTCGGGATGGTAAACTCAGCAACTAAGTTTCAGTTTAGAAGTTCTGGGCTATGCATTCGTTGTTTAGGGTTTTAGGGTTTAGGGTTTGGGGCTCAGGGTTTAGGGTTATTCAGGGTTCGGGGTTTAGGTACGATTTTGGGTTTCCAGATTAAGTTTTGAATGTAGTTTGTTGTAAGCTGAGACATGCACGGTGCAAGAATCATTGTTCGTGTGGTGTTGCTGTCCTTTACGATTCGTGTTTTGACGTGTGGAGCTTAGGGCAGTCATTTCTAGGGCTTCGGTGGAGGTGTGAAGTTGAGGAATTTGCTGCACTCACCTTTGTTAGTTATGCTACAGGTAAACTTTTATTTGCTTAAGAACCACCAAAAAAATAGAGTATTCTTCCTTATAAGGGTAATATAGGGATTATTATTTTTTATTTGTTAAGGGCTCTTAAGCAAATAGTAGTAAAGGTTTTCACCGACTGAGTTGCAAACCCAAAACCCTGACACATCCTCAGCGCACAAACCCCAGCGCCCCCCTTAAAGGAGCCGTTAAGGGAGCGAAACCCGAAGCCTCTTCGAGGATGGTTCTACAATCCCTAGAGCCCTAAACCCTTTAGCACAAAACAACAAGCAACACTTAGACGCCTCTTCGAAGCTTAAGCCCTACAACTGTAAAGCCCCGATCCCTGAGCCCCCAAACCCTAAACCCTAAACCCTAAACCCTAAACCCGAAACCCTAAACCCCTAAACCCCTAAACCCTAACTGTTGATTCAACTTGGACAGCACTGTTGAGAGCCCACCATTGAGCAAGCGTCATGACTTGCAATTTTTGATGCAAGTGACAGCGCAAGCTACGGTGTGCGCCGGTGTTCAAGTGTCTGTATTTCGTGGTAACGCTGCACAGGCGGATGCTTCGGGCAGGCGCTACGTGTTGGGCTTCGAGCGAGCCCCGTTTCGAAGAGTTACACGGCAGTGTTCAGCTGTCTCAGGCTGTCAAGACCGTGCGGGACAGCATGTAGGCTTTCTGGGAAGCGTGCCCTGCGAGCCGCTGGCGGGCCGTTTGTCGCCAGGATGATTTGGGCCATTTTGGCTTGTTCAAGGGATGGCAGGCGTTGATGTTGCCTGTTATGCAAAGGAGGTGCTCAACACTCCAGTCGGACAGTTCGCTGACAGAAAGTGTGTCGGCTTTGCTCCTATGCCGAACCGCCCTAAGCCCTAAACCCCTAAATCCTACGACCTTCAAACCCTAAGACCTAAGACCTACAATCCTGAACCCTGCGAGCAGGCCGAAGGCCTCAGCCCCGTAAGCAAAAAACCCTAAAGCCTTAGAGTCTTAGGGACGAAAGTTTAGGGTTTAGGGTTTAGGGTTTTAGGGTTTAAGGTTTAGGGTTGGGGCTTTTCGGGTTTAGGGTTTAGGGCTCAACCCCCGAACCCGAACACTTCAAATCCCTGCAAGACTTTTATTGAGCCCTAAAAGAACCTTTTTAGAACAGCTATAGGCTATAGGACCCTTCTGCAGACCCTCCCTCTTTCAAGCATCTATTAAGCTCCATACGAGCGCCCCAATTACAACTAAGAAACCCGAAACCCTGTCAGCCCCAAACATCCGCAGTGAGGACGACTCATTGTCAGTGTCCGAAGCCATCCGTGCGCTCGAAGCAGATCTCCGCAGCCAGGCGCGCCGTGGGACCTTCGGAGGGGTTCTATAAAGAGGATCTTTGTCTGTTGGGGGTTAAGGGTTTGGGGGTTTAGGGTTCAGGGTTTAGGGTTTAGTACAGAGAATCTGTTGGGGGGCTTAGGGTTTGGGGGTGTTAGGGTTTGGGGGAGTTCTTAAGAATATTTTTGCTGATTACAGAATTTAGCTTTCCACCAAAGCTTCGAAGTCTCTTTCTCCCTTCCATGCATGTTGATTTTGCTTCGCTCTCAGCTGCACAGAGCCATCAATCCCGATGCATGGTTGCTGGAAAGTCGAAACATAAGATTCCAAAGACTTCCACTGAACAGACTTCGCCACTGCTGTGAAAGGAGTTGGCAAGATGCACTTAGCGATTTCTGCATGCTCAGTTATGCATTCTCATCGGGTGGCGTTTTCTTGTCATCGGATCCTAGCCAAAAGCAGTTCATCAAAAACAGTACTTCTGCTACAGTGTAGGTTCCAGGTACTCCCTTGTCACGACTCGAGGAACGAAGTTCGCCAATAAGGAGCCAGAAACCGACTGAAACCCTCAACCCTAAACCCTTTCCCCTCAAACCCTAAACCCTTAAACCCTAAACCCTAAAACCCTAAACCCTAAAGCCGTAAAACCCTCAACCCTAAGCCCTTAACCCTAAGACCCTAAACCCTCAACCCTAAACCCCTCAACCCTAAACCCTTAGACCCTAAAGCCCTAAACCCCAAACCCTTAACCCAAAACCCAAAAACCCTAAAGCCCTAAAACCCTCGACCCTAAACCCTAAGACCCTAAAACCCTAAACCCCAAACCCTCAACCCTTAACCCTAAAGCCCTAAAACCCTCGACCCTAAACCCTAAGACCCTAAAACCCTAAACCCCAAACCCTTAACCCTAAAGCCCTAAAACCCTAGAACCCTACAACCCTCAACCCTAAAGCTCTAAAGCCCTAAACCGTTAGAACCCTAAACCTGAAACCACTCACACCCTGCCCGGGACGTCTCCTCAACCCTTAGGGGTACTTAGAATTCATGTTTAACCTTTGGCTACTATGAACCCGAAGAAGCAGCGAAAATTAAAATTTTGCTCGGGGTCTAAGTTCTATGCAGAACCGGTTAGGCCCCGAAGACCGGGGCCTCCACCAATCTCAAGGCCGTGTACAGGGGGGGGAGGGGGAAAGGTCAGGTTTTGGGGTTGAGTTTAGGGTTTAGGCGGGGAAAGTAAGGTTTTGGGGTTGAGGGTTTAGGGTTTACGGTGTTTGAAGGCTTAGGGTTTTGGGGTTTAGGTTTTTGCGGTTTTGGGGTTTAGGGTTTGGTGTTTTTGGTTTAGGTTCTTACGGTTTGGGGTTTAGGGTTTGGTGTTCAGGGTTTAAGGTTTTACGGTTTGGGGTTCAGGGTTTAGGGTTTAGGGTTGAGGTTGACGCGTTAGTAAGGGGTGCCAGAAAGGACATTACAAGGTAAGTTTCAGGATTACCAGAGGGATTTGGGGTTACTTGATCTCTTTACGATGTCCGGGTGGATTTTTGGGGTTCAGGGCATTTGGTTCGAGATTTAGGGGTTAGTAGTGTTTAGGGTTTGGGGTTTAGGGGGGCTAGGGTTTAAGTTTAAGCCGCAGGGTCTCGGGTTCCACGGTCTAGGAGCGCAGTCTGCGAAAAGGGCTTCATGGCCTGGGCCAAAACGGTTGCGGACTAGGGTTTAGGGTTTAGGGTTTACCCATAGGCCCCATAGTAGTTCCTTCTTGGGGTTACCTTATAGGATTCTAGATATGAACCCCAAAAGAGAACTACTTTAGGGCCAATGGGTAGGTTTAAGGGTTTAGGGTTTATTTAGATATGCAGTCTAGGTTCAGGCCCCTGTGGGGTGGCCTCACGTACCCCGTACCTAGGTCAAGCGATGTTAGCATCAAAACAGCCCTAAGAGCCTTACATACTGTCGATGATAGAAATCCTGCACTACCTTCAGGACTCTTAAAATATGGGCGGCATTATGGTAGAATCCTCATTATGGGTAGTGCAAGCTGCATGTCATCAACCATAGTAGGGTCTTTGGGCCCAAAAGCCATCAAAGATGAGTTCTCTGAGGGTACAGGGTTCGTAAGGCTAAATCCTGAAGTCTTCCTATAGCATGCCAGGCCGAAGCCCGATAAGCCAGCTCTAATGTGGGGGCCTTCATAATTAGAATCAGGTTTTTGGCTCCTTTATATATTATAGCTATAATAAGGAACCTAAGGAACAATTAGAGGCAATTATTTGAGCTTCACCCTAAACCCTAAACCCTAAACCCTACGTTATACAGAGGCGGATCGTGGTCGACCCGCCACTGGCTGCCGGCGCTGTGATGTTCTCTCTCGCCAGTTGCAGCCTCAGCTCGATCCGGGTTCTTAGGGTTTAGGGTTTAGGGTTTAGGCTTTCGAGGAGCTTCTCCGAATCTACGTCCGGTTCGGTACAAGTGGATGCTTCTCCGACGATAAAGAAGAAATATGGCCCGAATCAGAAATGTACCCGCATGTCCACTTGGAAATGCGGTTTCGTGCAGGTATTGTGCATCTACTAATGAAGGCCGTGGTATAGAGAAAGCACGTGTCGGTGTCTTTTGTGCTTCTGCGTGTCTTCGCTTGCACATGTGGGAGATTGTTATACCAACACCGAAATCGGCATCCTCAAGTTTCAGAAACCCTAAACCCTAAACTCTAAACCCTGTACTCCTCAACATTTCCAAAGGTTGGAAGCCGTCGCACAATCCCTGGTCGGCCTCGCCGTGCGCAGCCCCGCTCACCTTTCTGAGTTTCAGACCATATGTGTGTGTATATATATATATATAGATATACATGGACATAGATAGATGGATAGATAGGTAGATAGATAGTGCTAGTGATAGATAGACAGATAGATAGACATATAGATAGACAGACAGATAGACAGACAGATAGACAGATAGATGGATAGATTGACTGGCTGACTGACTGACTGATTGACTGTTTGATCGATTGGCATCGATCTGTAAACCGACGCAAGCCTCACAGAACCCCCACAGCCCCTCAGTTCAAGATCCCTCCGCATGCTCTTCGTTCTCCAATAATACAGGGGCCCTACTAATTAGAATAGGGTTTTGGGGCCCAGTATAGTATAGTTATAATACGGAACCCCCCAAACAGTATAGGTAATTATTCAGGCCCCTACATTAGCCAACGATCGAACTAATGGTTCCAATGATGTGTTATAAACAAGTCAAGTTTAAGAGTTGACCTATGGGAATGCATGCGACATATTGCATTTTGAAGCTTGCAGGTTTAATCTTTAATGGCAGGAAATTGTCGGTTAGGGTAAGATAGAAGACATAAAAACCAGAATTATTTGTTCCTTACGGCTCCTTGCTTTACAAGCCTCAAACATACTTGAACTTTAACATACTCCAGAACCTCTACCCATAGGCCCTAAAGTAGTTCCTTGTTGGGGTCCGTATATAGAATCCTATAAGGTAGCCCCAAAAAGGAACTACTATGGGGCCTATGGGTAATTACTATGACAGTTAAGGCCCCTACAGCATCAGGTTCGGGCTGCCCCGGACGCTAAGGCCTCCAATCCCCGCACCCCCAACCCATGGCATCCCCAAACCCTAAGGGTCCCTTAGGGGCCCAGTAGGTAAACAACTTTTTGGTATAGTAAACCCCCTACTACAAGAAAAGTTTAAACTTTTTTGGGCCAGGGTACTGGGCTTCAAGGGTCCATGTGTTCATAGGCCATAGGGTTTAGGGTTTAGGGTTTAGTTTAGGGTTTACCTTAGGTCCAAGTACCTAATAGTCATATACTCTCCCAAAAAGTAACCTACATAACTACTATCCGAAACCTAAGTACTTGATTATTGGGTCCTTTGGACCCTTGGGGTAAGGGTCCATCTGTTCATATAGTACATAGTTACGGTTTAGGATTTCAGGCTTAGGATTTAGGGTTCGGGGTTTAGGGCCTTAAAGTATCCTTTAAACCCTAAAGGATCCATGTGTTTATAAAGAGCCTAGACAGAGCCCGATTTGAATGAAGCTAAAAGAACCGTAAAGCCTAAAATCCCCAAAGCCCTAAACCCTAGACCCTAAACCCTAAGGGTCCATGTGTTCATGTAGTACATACTTAGGGTTTAGGGTTTAAGGTTTAGGATTTAGGGTTTAGGGTTTAGGGCCTTAAAGTATCCCCTATATGGGTACTTTAAGGTCAAAGTATACTCCTATGGAGACAGGGACCCTTTGGGCCATTGTGAACGCTCAGTCCCCTCCCAACCCACGAGCCCAGACAGAGCCCGATCTCAACGAAGCAACGTAATATAGAACCCTAACCCCTAAACCCTAAACCCTAAAAACCCTGAAACCCTAAACCCCTACACCCTTAGCCCTTAACCCCAAAAAACACCTCAAGAAACACACTCCGGGTAATGAAACCTCTAAACCCTAAACCCTTAACCCTAAACCCTAAACCCAAACCCCAAACCCCGAGCCCCATGCGCAGGGCGCGGCCTTCCGATGGTCGCTGGAAGTCGCTGCAGGCAAAGGGTTTAGGGTTTAGGGTTTAGGGTTCAGGGTTCAGGGTTTAGGGTTTAGGGCCTAAATAATTACCTATACTATTCTTTAGGGGTTTAGGGTTCAGGGGTTTTAGGGGTTTTAGGGGTTTAGGGTTTAGGGCCTAAATAATTGCCTGTACTTTTTTAGGGGTTCTTTTTTGGAATTATAGTATAACATACCTTCAAATCCTATGCAAATTAATATTTATGCCCCTATAGTTGGGCTTTGGATGGAGAGTCCAGGGGTTCTCACGGTCCACGGGTTTGAGCTTTAGGGTTTAGGGTTAAGGCTCATACGGTTTGGGATATGTGTTTCGGAATTGCTGCGAGTTGGGCTCTAGGGTACCGGTGCTGGGACCTCGGTACATTGCTTAGTTCGGGATTGAGGGATCGGCTTTCGATTCAACGTGTAAACCGTTGCCCTAAACTTTAAACCTCAAGCCCTAGATGGCTTGCTCTTCTGCTGCTTTCGGCGTTGGGGGATATCCGGCTTCGAGACCCAGGGTTCGTTGAACCTAAGCTGTAGGGCTTAGGCTTTTAGGGTTTAGGGTTCAGTGTTCAGGGTTTACGGTCCCTTTTAGGTCCCCTTATAAAGGGTGCCGTCCTATTTTTGGGGACCTAAAGTGTGACCCTAATTTAGAGGATTACCCAAATCCTAAACCCTGAACCCTAAACCCTGAACCCCTGAACCCTGAACCCTAAACCCTGAACCCTGAACCCTAAAGCCTGAACCCTAAACCCTAAACCCCAAACTCTCAACCCTAAACCCTATACCCTACATGTTGTCGGTTCGCAGGGTTCAGTGTTTAGCGCTTAGGGTTTAGGGCTGTACCTTAAGAACCCAACACCCACCTTTTTGTAGGGTCACTATAAATCCCATATTAAGGTTTATAATAAGAACCTACAAAAAAGTGGGTTTTGGGGTCTTAAGGTAGGGCTTAAGTCTGCCCTTCAGTCATGTGGGCTTCAAGGCTTCGCCAGCATGTGGAGCCTTCATGGGTTGCTTGGGTGCACGAGCGCTTAGGGCTTAGGGTTTAGGGGTTAGGGTTCAGGTAGGTTTGGGGTTTGTGCAGGGTTTAGGGTTTAGGCCTTAGGGTTTAGGTATATAAGCAATAACAGTCTTTGTAGGGGTCAGCTGTTTCTGCATCATGCAATTATAATGGCAAGTCGTCATAAGCCACATCCTAAGACATGTGTGTTTGCTGCCGTTGGGCCTGGATGTTGTGAATCCAGTGCCAGGGGAGACAGTTCAAACACCCACACACCTTCGCCCAAAATGCTTGGTGTTCTTCAGGTTGGCTCTTAGGACTTTTACTTTTCGGTTTCTATATGAACCAAAAATTTAGAGAGGCTGAAAGTTTAACCTCCAGGAGGGGTTCAGAAGTCAA